GGTGACCCCATCTATTTTCAGCTACATATAAGAAGCCTCCTTGCAACAGGGACACCACCATCAGGGAAGCCGAAGTCCGTGGGGAATTTTCACGTCCAGGAAACTACTTAGAAGTCCAAGATGTTTCTGCCCAGCCTCCTCCCGGACTTAGAATCAGTGTTTGGGAGAAGAATTTGGGAAACAGATCATTGGAGGGGGAGTTTTAAACCCACTCTCCTACTTCTTTTTGCAAACCCTTCAGTTTTCTCTTACACTGTGTGCAGGATGGGGCTGGTAGGACCGGGAGTGGGGTAGGAGATCTTCCCATTCTCTGTCTCAAACCACAAATGACCTAAGAGGGGATGCAGAGGAATCACTCGGGTTCAGACAGGCCACTCTGCTCAGTCTCACAGTTCACGGAAGGCTTGGCTTTGATTCCGAAGCAGGGCGCTCTCCGCTCTCCATCATACTCAGTCGTGAGACTGTCATCAAGATCCCAGTTGTCTTCCCGGAGGAGCATTCCCTCAGACAAAGGTTCAAGCAGTTTGGCAAGATTTTCACAGTCTATGCTGTTCTGGCCCATAGGGCGCTCTCTCTCTCTCTCTCTCTCTCTGTGTGTTGTGGGGGGAGAGTTGTTGCAAGGGATTAAAAAGCCCAAATCACAGCACACAGAGCCTTCAGACTAAAGGAAACAACTTATCTTGTTCATAGATACATTGATAGATGATAAAGAGATCAGTGATAGATGATAAGTGACTTTTTTTTTCCCACCCGCCTGTAATATCAGTCCTCAGGTTCTTGCCCCAAGCATTACTCCCAGTTTTACCTGTGGGAGCACAGGCTAGAAGTTAATGAACTGCCAAGTTCTGAGGGCTGGAAAGTGACAAGGCCGTGATTGGAGTGTTTGCTTCCTCTTCTGCATTGTTTCTCTAGAACTGTTTCTCATCTACTCGATTTACACATAAAAAAATTACAGTATTGGGGCGCCTGGGTGGCTCAGTGGGTTGAGGCCTCTGCCTTCGGCTTGGGTCATGATCCCGGGGTCCTGGGATCAAGCCCCACATCAGGCTCTCTGCTCCGTGGAGAGCCTGCTTCCTTCTCTCTCTCTGCCTGCCTCTCTGCCTACTTGTGATCTCTGTCAAGTGAATAAATAAAATGTTAAAAAAAAAATTACAGTATTCAGGGGTCCCTGGCTGGCTCAGTCGGTAGAGTACCCTGAGATCAGGGTCAGGAGTTGGGCCTAGAGCTTACTTTTTAAAAAATTAAATTAAAAATTACAGTGTTGGGGTGCCTGGGTGGCTCAGTGGGTTAAAGCCCCTGCCTTCGGCTCAGGTCATGATCCCAGAGTCATGGGATCGAGCCCCGCATCGGGCTCTCTGCTTGGCAGGGAGCCTGCTTCCGCCTCTCTGCCTACTTGTGATCTCTATCTGTCAAATAAATAAATAAAATCTTAAAAAAAAAATTACAATGTTTATTAATGAGTACCATGACCACAGATTTGTATGGAATCAGTTGTATACATGAGATAATGGAATAAGTATAAATTCAAGATGGTGACACTTGAACATTTCTAAAGTTTTTGATTGGATTTCTGTATCCTTTTGTAATTGCACATTGCAGCACAAAGAGATCTCTGTCCCTCTTCTCTCCTCCCCGTTTCTTACCTGCGTCCTTCCCCAGTCCCCACAGTCCCTGAAATGATCAGTTACTTGGGCACAGTTATTAACTGTTGAGAGACCATACGGGCATTTTCCCTAAGGACAGGAAAGACACATACACAGAGATAAATAAATTCACCAAACAAGAAAAGCTTGGTTTGGCAGAGACTTTGATAAAGCTCTATAAGCTATACTCTGTTGAGTACGCAAAATCTTGAATTACTGAGGAGATGGTTGTCGCTGGTTTTCTCTTAAATTGTTTGTGTAAATGTAAATTATACAATTAGATACATGTATTCTTGATTAATAACGGAAGGAGAGCCGATAAAAACATGTCGAAATAAAACTATCAACACAGGAGGCACACCTGGCTGGCTCAGTTGGAGGAGCCCGCAATGCTTGCTCTTTGGATCATGAGTTCAACCCCCACATTGGGTGTAGAGATTACAAAAATAAATAAATAAACTTAAAAATAAAAAAAAACTTAGCAGCATAGGACAGCTTACTAAAAGCATGTCACATTATTCCTTGACATGTAGCGCATTTGTTACCTGACCATATTTGTTTGGGGAGTCTAATTCCTTTACACGTTCAAATGATACAAGGAGATAGCTCCAGAAGAAATTCTGTCCGGTTTATAACAATTAAAAATAGGGACGCCTGGGTGGCTCAGTCGGTTGAGCATCCAACTCTTGGTTTCTGCTCCCGTCATGATCTCAAGGTCGTGGGATCCAGCCCCCTATTGGGCTCTGCATGGCACAGCCTGGAGCCTGCTTGTCCCCCGCCCTTCCCCAGAGCTCTGCCCCCAAATAAATAAAATCTTTTTAAACAAATGAACAAAATATAGTTCTTGAAATTTGAGGCCCACTTTTTAAATGGTTTGGAATATTTAGGATTCAGAATGAAGCTTCCATGGGTTTAGACCTTCTTCAGTTACTTCAGTCATAGTCTTAATTCTGGTATTATTGCATTTCTGATTTTATTTTTTTCCTAAAGGTCCCATCATTTTGCCACAGTTTCAAACGATGAGAGACTGTGCTTTGCTAAAGTGATTCACTATAGTTTTAATCCAAGACACAAAGCCCAGGAGGCCTTCCCCTCTACTTGCTGTGGAGGGAATGACGGTAACTTTAATGTGAAGGACTGCAGACACGTTTGTACAAAAGGTAGTGATTTTTTTTCTTGTTCAATTTTTAAACCAAGTCTAAGGATTATACTTTTTGTATGCATTTTACTAACAGCACACATTGCCATTTCTAGATGACTTTTCAAATATAAAGGTTATGGAGATTTTCTCTTACATATAAATGCAAGCCAAACTATTTTTTTAATTCCCAGTAGCTTTCCGTTAGTATTTACAATTATGTGGACATCCTGGGAATTTTTTGACATTGTTTTTCTGGGGTGCCTGGGTGGCTCAGTTGGTTAAGTGTCTGTCTTGGGCTCAGGTCCTGATCTCAGGGTCCTGGGATGGAGGCCGGCATAAGGCTCCTTACTCCGAAGAGAACCTGCTTCTTTTCCCTCTGTCTCTGCCCCTCCCCCTCACTGGTGTTCCCTCTCTCAAATAAATAAAGTCTTTTTTAAAAAAAGAGTTCTTTGAAAATATATAGTCCTGTGACCTTAAGATTGAGCATGATGCCAAAGCTTTTCTATGCTACTCCTTGTATTAAAAAAAAGCAGCAAGGGTACTCTTAGCAAAACTCATTAACACCAACAGTTCACTTCTGGCTACACAGAGGGGCAGAGGGACAGGAATTCCTCTTCCAGAGACTGTCAAATCACGCAGAGGGCCCCCTCACCTTGATGGAGCCAATCTCCCCCACCCGCCCTCCCCCAATGGCCTGAGGCAGCCCTTCATCTCCCCCTACCCACGTGGTCACCTTCCTCCGGTAGCCCCTCCTCTTGGCCTCCCCTCCGAAGCAAGGTAATTTACACTCTGGGGTTTCAGCCTAAAGCGCTACCAACTAGGAGTTCTCACCCTCTAACAGGAAAGCCACTCCTTCTGCACATGACTAGCTTCAGATGAAGCAATACTAGCTGCTCAGGGTTGGGGCAGACGAGAGAGAAGTGTGAGGCCACCGTCAAGGAAACCAGCCAGAAGCTTCTCTAGTTTGGCAGAGGTCCCCAAGCAGCCAAGGAAGGGACACATTGTAGCCCCATGGATACTGACCGATCTCTGTAGGCAGCTTTCAATAAATCAGTCTCCAGGAACTAAGGCATTCAAGACCTCTGCCAGGCACGGATTTCTTCTTTTTCACTATTTCCTCTCCTCATTAAATGGCAAGGCCCTTTACAGCAGAAATCAGGCTAAACATCCCCTGTATGTTCCACCCTGGGCAACAGAACTGTGACTGAGGAGGTGGTGGTCAGAAGGGACCTGCTGATGGAAACCTGTCAAACCATTTTGGTTTCATAATGAACACTGGGCCGGTGATGTGATGACAGAAAGGAACACGCAGAGAAACGGTGATAATTCTTAGTAGTTTATAGCTACAGTATCCCATTTTGTATGTATAAATACAGTTACAGACCATAAATATCCTAACAGCAAAATACCTGCCTCTAGACAGACAAAAAGCATTTTTGCGACTAAATAATACTGAGGAAAAAACAGATACTGAGGTAATGTTTCATCTAAAGTGACCACAGCCTAGGGCAAAACATTCTTACTGTTAAGTTCAAGTGGTTATGAAAGCCTTGTCTCATAACCTACAAATGTAACTTTAATAGACATTTTTAAGCGAAACAGTATTTTCATCATAAATAGGTAAAATAAATAAAATTCCTGCTGAAATTCAATCATGACATTATTCTTTTTTTATCTATCTAGGTACTTTGTTGATACAGACTGGCCTTTTAACAATAAAAAAAGGGAAATTCATGAAACTTTTCTCAGAATCTACGTATTATTCTAAAGCAAATTATACATATATGGCATTTTTATTCTGGGTGAGAAATCCAATCCCCCTTAAAAAAAAAAAAGAACTATGTAAAACATACTTAATTTCTCTTAAAAGATCACTTCCTATGAGACATACCCAGACCAGTATGAGAAAGGCCTTTTACAGATTTTACAAACTTCTCTAGAAACACAATCATCTTATCGAGTTACTTTAGAATACTTGTTTTACTAAGTATTAATTACAACAGTAAAAAAGCCTAAATCACCTTTTTCCCCCATTATTTCTGATTCTACAAAATCCCTGTGCTCTTTATCTTTTAACATTCTACCTTCAAGAATCTTGCTGGAACCAACTAATACCTCTATCACATTTTTCAAAGTACAGGCTTTCCCGTTAAAATTCACAGAAACATAATTCAAGGATCATCTGAACAGAAGCAATACGTTTTTGAGTAAGAAACAAGCTTTCAAATCATTTTATATTTTGTAGTGAACTGTGGAATCCACACTCTCTACAACATTCAGTGTTCTCAGAATGAAATGTTTACTTTTAACAAGATAATATATAAACCAAGTCTTACACCTCACTTTGGAGTTGTCATCCCAAAATAAAACCTAACACTGAACACATTCTGTTTTCTTTTGCCTCTGACCACTGTCCATTCATCTGCCAACTCCGCTTACAGTAGGCTGCACAGCAATCCTCAGCAAAATTACCGGAATAATTTCAGAAGTAAAAACAAACTGTTAAGTAATTAAGTCCTTATTTTTCAAAGCTCCTCCGTTCTTGCTTTAAAATAAACAAAATGGTTTTATAACACCTTCATGAGCCAAAACAAATGTCTTCTGGGAAATCTCCAACAAAAATCCGTCTTTGATGTATCCCATCTTCGTTTCCAAGGACGTCCAAAAAGCAAGTGAGATCTTCTCCATCACAAGGCATTTCCTCTAGATTAAATTTGCACCTACTGGGGAATCTTCCATTTTAAAGCAATCTCCTCGTTCAAGCTTCAGAAGCAGTCAGGTTCCCGACCGGAAGAGTTTGCATATCAGATTCAGAAGTTTCTGCCGGAAATTCAGCTTGTCTCCAAATTTCCTGAGTTGCATGGCACACTCCATTTCGGGGTCTGAAAAGGAAAGCTAAACATTAAAATCACACTGGTATTACAAATTGCAACCAGCAAGAGTTAAATGTGCTCATCCAAGGGACAAGCTGAGTATTTACTCAGTGAACATTTATCTTAACTTTAGCTTTATGTACACCCATTTTCTCAATGCAAGAAAGGGGACTTAGCATGCACACCCTCCCCCCCAACACATCATATACACATTGTGACTCATAAATCAATAGAATAATTAAGAATAAAGATGTTTACTCTGAAATATATATATATATATATATATATATATATATATATATATATATATA